CATTTGGTTAACTTTGACATTTGAATAATACTACTGTCGAGTATTGGTTTAACTTTTAATCATTATTTCTGGATTTCAAAACGAAAAGATACACGACACGAGAAAACAATGAGCTCGAGATAATACTCTCAATCACAGGGACGATTTAGATAACTGGAAACGTGTGTTCTCTTTAAATAAAACAGTATATTTCCAATCATATGATGCATTCTGAGAGTTTCCACGAAAACTCAATTAAACATCGACGGAGAAGATATACTAGGTATTGAAGATAGAGAGATATAGAGATATAGAAGATATTTGAGGTATTGATTAACTGGTGCAGCTGATCATCAAATAGTGTTTGAATTTAAATACCTATCCATTTAAATATGTTTATGCAATCTACCACACGTTGCCCGAAAAAATCGATCATAATAAATAAGTAACTATTTTTTATTCAAATAGTTATGCATACTGTTCAACTAGTGCTTATAATCTTCAAATAGTCCTTTGAGGTCTAATAGATATTCATCTACACATATCGATATCTCTATATCTCATACGCCAGCATTTAATTGAGTTTGCGAGGAAACTCTTCGAATGTATCTAATCTTTCCAACCGTCTAACACCTTTACAATAGACACTTCCATGCAGTGAAAACTTTTTAAAAGACCAAAAATAGCTCACTCCAAAGAGGTTTCACTGTATTTTCAAATTTATTCTCCGGCAAAATATAGTTAATCATAGCAAAATAGAAGCAATTCGTTATATTTCTCTAAATGACATGATTCAATGTGACTCATGGAAATATATTTGCTAGATTCAAGTTTTTTGAATAAGTATTGAAATTTCGAATAATTTTATAAAAGCCATCCAGATCCTGCTCATTTATGCAAGTTGATTGAGAAAGACTTCTTTCAAATATAAGATGCACTTACGAAGTCTTGTCTTGCTTGTAAAATTGACATATTTTCAAAAACATGATCAACGAACACCTTCTGTCTTGCGTGATCAACCTTGTCCCAAATCTAAGAAAGTTTAAGCAAGACATTAAGCTTTATTTCTTCCATTAGAGTCAAAGAGAAAATCTTACCTGACACCATTTCAATCCCATTGCAAGTGACTCATCATCGAAAATGTCGTATTTTTTACGTCGAAAATATATTTCCTTTCGCATTGCGTCAGCAATCGCATCTTCCAAGTTGCCGTTGACTCCTCTGGGATCAAATATGACAATGAGTTCATTATTTTCGGCTAGGTCACGTATGAAGTTCTCAGTTTCGGTATCAACTTCCTCTGTCTCATTTCCCACTCTCTTCTCTTTCTTGGTCTCATTTTCCTCTTGAAATCGCAATTGTTCCAAGCGTTTCTTCCATCCATAAATCTCCCTGTGATTCCATTTTTGCCATTCATCGAAATTAAATTTAACTCTTTCGCCGCTTGAATTTGAAAATTTAGTGACATTATCAACGATCTTAACGATAACGCCAGCGAGTTGACCGGTGCCCTACAAGAAACAAGTTTATCACATAAGCAGATCATGAAATAACTGATATTTTGTTATCATTGTCTGACACAAATAGAGCGTTGACATGTGTTTTATACATAGGATCAATCCACCATTAAACTGTACCATATACTGGAAGCAATCAAATTCATGGGTGTACACCACTTTTAGGCAAAAGATTTCATGTTTTTATTTCAATCAACTGATTCGTTTCAATTTAGTTTGAAAAGTATTTAAAGCATAAACAATGTAAACTTGTCCTGATAAAGTTTGAAAATAATCAAAATATGAGCTATATACATGCATGTAGTATGTTCATGGAAAATTATAATGTTTCCAGCAATAAAAAACTAACATAAGTGTGCCAGCTATGCATATTTTTTATAGCTCAACAATTTTTGAAACCTTTTATTTCAAGATTCCAATTTTGTATCTGATTTGCAAACTCAAGAGGGCATAGAAAATGTCGTCCTTGGAATTTTGCTAGCCAAGTAATTGAAATCCAAAAGATCGGATGATTTTTTATAGCACGACAACGATCTACTATTTAGGGATACCCAAAAGTAGTGGCGAAGGTACCTTATTTTCTTATAGAAGACTTGAAGAAATTTTCTTTCTTTATAAGATGATAGACAAAATGAAGTTCTATTTTTCTATGCTATGTCATCTCTATTCAACTGGTATCATAATAGTAAAATGTCAATAAGAACTCTTTTTGTGTAAAACTTCACAAACGGGTGACGCAGATTCAATATTTTAATCATTTTATATGTTGTATTGAAAATCAAAATATACCACAAGATGCAGCGTGAAATGCTCTACAATTTACGTGAGACAACTTATTTTACAGTTGCACTTTTTGTTTTAAAAATAAACAAAATTTGGGTCACCAAGTTTCGACTGTTCGAAAATGACATGTTTTAGTACAAGATGAATTGATTTTTTCTTATTTCATCTTTTTATCACCTGATATCTTTTATTTAAAAACAACAAAATACATCACAAGATGCAGCGTGAAAGGCTCTACAATCCACAAAGTAAAGCTTCTTTTAATTATGTACTTCTCATCGAAAACAGAACAAGATTCTGAGCGACTAGTTTTTGCTATCCCAAGAAAAAAATCATGCGAAGAGAAACTCCTTTTTTTCTTATTTCATCTATAAAATAAACTGTTCATTACAAATTGTAGAGCTTTTCCCGCTGAATCTTTTGGTATATTTTGTTCATTAATACAACGTATTAAATGATCGGATATTGAGATGGAAAGCATGTCAACCTGCATCAGGCGTTAGTAAAGTTTCACACAAAAATAGTTCTTATCGATATTTTACTATTATGATACCAGTTGAATAGAGATGAAATAGCACAGAAATATAGAGTTTCATTTTGTCTATCACCTTAAAAAGAAAGAAAATTTCCTGAAGCCTTCCATAAGAAAATAAGATACCTCCGCCACTAATTTTGGGTATTCCTAAGCAGATTCATTATTTTATTTAACAAACACTATCGGATGCCTCGTCTGAGACGAAATCGTCACATTCGAATTATTTCGAGAGTAATTGGAAGAGCAATGTTTTTACTTTTATAAATTATACAGACTAGTCTTGAAGATATTCCTGGCTATGAAAGAATAGAAATAGAAATTATTTTTTAAATTGAATTCGAAATAGAAAGGAGTGGTTTATTTTCGACGAGAAACGATCGTCCAAAGCTGTTACTGGTAAAACCAACGACAAAAGTTGAGTGCATCCAAGGGAACTCGCTTTACGAAGGGTGTAAAGATCACTTTGTTGCTTATGGTATACAGAGTATTTCATACATTTTGAGCCTTGAGAGAATTATCGGTTTATATGCACACAGAAAACTATATCGAACTGAACGTATCTATATGAGATTTGAATACTTCTGTTGATGTTTAAAATAATGTAATATTTTATAACAAATTGTCTTTTGGTAGTAGTAGCAAAGGCATAAGAATGGGATGATCAAGTTTCCGGCATTGACTATCAGCACTTTGTTTAAATGGTTCATAAAGTGATGAACACGTTTGACTTAAACTAAAGCTACACTAAGTGTCAATAAATAGTTGTCATAATCATTTATTTGAGATTTTTCAAGAGTCACTGAACATGTAATCTCTAAGCTATATGCTAAATAAACGATTTAAAATCAATCGAAATATATGTGCAGACTATGCGCAGAATGAAAACAAAGAAAATAAAGATTGTGTTACAAACTATTGCTGAATTATTAAATTTTGTGAAGCAATGAAAAGTACTATTTTCTTTTTCTTAATATAACAAGTTTTAAGATAATTCTTACAAGACTGAAATAAGAAATACAATAAAGTCACTTTAATTATTATGGAGCAAGTTAGCCATCATGTCTGTTATATTTTGTGGCGAGAAAAAACTCAGTATGACGAAAAATCTGCCCAGATGTTAGAGACTGTGACAGAACTAGAAATCTTCTATGGATCTGTAGTATACTGTAATAGATATGTTGATTTGTCTGTCACGATCTGTAGGATATGCTTGAGGGAGAAGAAAGTGAGATTTTCACTTTTTTTCGCTGTATATTTTAGCACTCATTAACAATTGTGTGTTTCATAAAATATTATACAATGATTTCGAATAGTTGACCATCACAGTCTTATGTTAATATCATTATCATCTCAAGACACTGTGTCACACAATATTATATCATTTAAAGCATCAATACAAGTATTTACACCACATATAAATACGTTCAATTAGATATGGTTCCTTGTATTCATATATATTTATTCTGTTGAGGTTCAAAACTTTCGAAACTCCGTTTATTGTCAAACGTATAGAGTGCACTATGTTCTATAATATGAATGTATTTTGTTTATAACTTCTTCATCCGTTTTTTATACAGTCGTCGAAGTTAAGTAGAACAGCAAATAGAATTTGAAATCGTCTAGAATGCTTCTCTCAGAAGTAAGGATATCCGCGTGAAAAGTGTCGAGGAAAATGTGTAGAAGATCTGTGAAAGTAACAAAATAAGAAGTTTAATCATTGGTTCTTATGAAAGTCTATAGGAAATTTGTCAAAAACATTGAAAAGATAAATTTTCATGTTTTCAAGTTGATATTTTCAATATCAGTGTTTCAATTCAATTTACTCGAACTCAAGCTTCTTACTTTAATGGCTTAGAATATTCGGTGCAAGTTTTCTTTTGAAATTAGCGAAAAATAGTTTTTGTCAATTATGTGGCTTTGTTAAAGCCAAATTGACAAATCGTAAAAATGTCCTACTCGATGTGATCCAGAACATATAGAAAACTAGATTTTCCCTCTCATCAATCACTTGGCATACGTTACAAGTAGGAATAGTGGTATGGATCATGAAATATTATCATCTCTGAAACAGATAGTAGCGAAAGTCAAATAAATTTGGACTTTGTCTCGATTTTGCTTTTCTGATAACTGTCCGTTCTATAGTGTGAAACCTTTTTCATTCATATGAGACACTCATTGGTATAAGTTCATACTTCAACAACAACAACTGGTGTGCCATTCTGCAAGTAACGAGATAGTGCACGTAGTGTTGTAAAATCGCCACCAAGTAGTAATATAACTATTGGAATATTGTAAAATGCTGAAAAAAATATTATAGGTTAGTTATGAAGATTGTTGACTAATAATTTGTTCATCCATACCATTTCGTTGATTATAGCCAAGCACTTTTGACTTCAGCTCGCGACTAAGTTCGTATTCGATATCGTGACGCTTGTGGATAATAGAATCCAAATCGCTTGGACTATGATCGAAGAGAAGAAAATGAGTGTGATTCGGTTCTAACTTATAATTTTTGTTGCCTTGATCGTATTTGAGACTATAAATAGGAAACTGTCCAACGGGCACCTAATAAAATGAAAGTAGTCGTGTTCATATAGAAATTGAGTTTTCTCTTTTATTTAATGGTAATTACCGAAGATGCCGAGTCAGTAGTTGTGCCGATGTGTGAGGGATCAGCAGTTTCTCCACTCTTGAAAACTTTTTGAATTTTTCTAACGAACCAGGATGAAGATTCTTGCCTTCTGTTGCCATGCTTAGCACGTCCTTTCTCAAGATCGAGTATTTCGTCACTGCCTTGGATTGAATGCGCCAATGCTACTAGCCTACTTTCTGGTTGACCATCATCTGATAAAGAGCACATCATACTGTACCGAATATTAGAAGTTACATTACTGCTGGTGTCAAAGGTAGCCATTGAACGTGACCAGCTGCACAAACCAATACAAGGAATATCATCTTGAGAGGCGTTGCTACGCAATTCTTCTCCTATTAGACGATTCATAGCGTGATCTATGCCATTTGTCATAACCCATGCATCTAAATTTTGAAAGATATGAATAACAGAAATATAAAGTTTTCTGAAATTGTTTACTTGTTATCTTTGCTGTTTCAACTAAACCACGTTGAATTGCATGCTTGGTTTCGTTATTAATGTCAGAATTATCGTCAACTCGTTTCTTGATATTGACATTATCCGTCTGGATTGAGAGAATGAGATCAGGAAGAGGAAGTTGATAGGCTTCAATGATAAATCGCGCTACTGCCTTTTTTGATGACTTGTCAGAAAGTTGAATGAACTAAAGAGATATGACTTAGTTGATATTTTGTGTAAAATGGGTCGAAATTACACAAATCTAGAGAATCAAGAGTATTTTACTTCAGTTATAAAAGTATCATTATGTCCACTTTTTTTGATTTACTTGGGTTATGTAAATGACAAACTTATTCTATTGAAGGTACTAAAGTAAAAATGTCAACTTCGAAAAGAATCTCAATTCTTTCACAAGGTACAATTTCCTTGAAAACTTGTTCAATGCATTGTTCTATGATTTCACAAAATATAATTAAGGGTCATATGACTTACCTGTGATAAACGATTGTTGTTAGCCGTTTGATTGAAATCAGACAAACGCAAAAACCCGAATGTTCTCTCACACGATTCAGAAACAACGTTGTCATATACTGAACCTTCTGATATAGATTCAGGAAAAATCCTAAAAATTGAAATAAACACAAAGAACAAATCATATAATCTTTATAACGTCTTAAACTGTTGAGACTCTTATCATTCTTAAAATCCTCGCTATTCGAGAATCCCTTGACATCTCAAGAATTGTTTAATTCTTGGAATTTGTGGAAATCTTCAACTCTTGGAAACATTGGTTGACACCAATGAGTTATAAAATCATTCAGCATAAGAGAAAGACAGAAAGATTCATCACAGTATAATATAGTCTACAAACGTTATCAATATCTGCCATGACCACCACGAATATACACATTCCAGCAGGCGACGCCGATACGAAAGTACTATAGTGTGATGACGTGTGCGGAAAGACTAACAGATACGAAAGCGCAAATATACATACATAAACTCAATGTGACGGTGCCACGATATGTTGTCGAAACCTCTTTGATTCTACTAACGGTAGAAGTGCATGGTACATCTTGGTAGTCTGCACAGATTGTAGTAGCCGTTTGAAACAATCTTTTAGAAGATTGATAGGACTTTGGCTTAATTCCCAATTATTTTATGTCATACACTGTTAGAGTTCAAGACCTCGAACAGTCTCAAGAGCTCAAGGATTGCAAGAATTTGAAGAGCTCCAAGCATTCTAGATGGATTAGTAACCAGAATTTAACTACGCCGTGTTTATTTCTAGGATTCTAAAAACTTCTGAAGGTCAGAATTCGTGAAACTCAGGCATATCTCCAATCATTTGATGATTACAGTCTTGGACAAAAGTACCTGTCCCGCCCTGATCTAAAGACACTTTAGGTGAATGTGGATCATGATGAACTCTGATCGCAAGCACTAACCAACTACGATACGTTGAAAATCTGAATCGAACAATAGCTTCACCTTGTCACTACCATACCTCAAATTTTTCAACACCTGTAGTTTTTGGTTCGCTCCCTATTTGTAGCTCAATATCATAACTATCTGTAGCAAAAGTTTGCTAAGAAATTACTTTGAAATAACTGAGATATAGTTTCTCCATGGAGAACTTCTGCCAAACATAAATTATTGGTCTCTACTCAGATGTCCCTCACTTGATATGGTCTTCATCGATTTATTCGAGGGTTTAGTAACAAGTTTCTAAACGCTCACAAGTCAGCGTTGCAACTTTCGGATTCTTAGAGCGATATGGAGTTGTGCTAGAGTTTTGGAAACAGCTTGTCACAGTAGAGCTAGTTAATCATCAAAATCTGAATATAATGGGAACTCGGCTTTGAACACAAAAAATGAGATTTATATGTGGCTGCATTCTGTGTTAAAAAAAACACAGAAATGAATAAGCATCGCTAGTACAATGAGACAAAATGTCTATGTCTGCAAAGAAGTCCAGGAGTGTAACTTGTCCTCACAGAGAAGAATTCTGTGCTTACAAACGTTATTTGCTGTTTGTTGAATATATCGGACAAAATTGTGGTCACAGAAAATCTATCTTTGTTATCTCATGCTTTTACAATTAACTGTTATCTTTTTTTTAATGCAAAGCGTAACCACATATACCTGTTCTCTTGTGCTCAAGGTTCAGTCCTCAGATTGTTAAAATTTTGTCAGGTAACACGCTCTAACCCAACTCTACATTGCAAAAACGATCTGAAAATTTCAACAAAGATTTCTGAGCACAGGTGGACTCGTTGTTAAAATCTCAAGTGAGTCGATCAAGACATGCAGAGTTAGTGGAATCAGACTAGAGACCAGACAATTGTGTTTGGAAGAAATTTTCCATGAGGAAATTATATCTTAGTTATTTCAAAGTAATTTCTTAACAAAATTTTACTATAGATAGTTACGACATTGGATTTTGAATGAGAAACGGAGCCAAAAATATAACTGCTGGAAAGGTTGAAATATGGTGTTCACAAGGTGAAGCTATTGTTCGATTCGAAACTTAAAAGTATCTCAATTGATTGAGATCAGATTGATGCTTGTGACCAGGATTCATCGTGATCTGCATTCATCTGAAATATCAGTTCAAAATTGTGGGAAATAATACTACTTCATGTTAAGAGTAAAGCAAGCATTTTTGTCCAAAATTATAAGTTACTCTCTGATTTTGAATACTGCAATAACTTACAGTTTATTGCCGCCATTTTCTTCGTCGTAAATATCATCGTCACCATTGATAATTTTGTTAATAACCTGCGATAAAAAAATCGATCTTCAATGTAGAAATTATTTATCATATATGCATACTTCTTCGACGTGCTCATATGCTCTAGATAATTCCTTTGTCATTGTCAGATGTTGAATTGAACCTAAACAAGTACAAAATGATCGTATTCTCTTATTCGTCGTACAGCTGACAATGATCAGTTAAGTTCCAGATACTGTTTTCATTCTTTTTTTCATCCTAGTTTTTTTCACGTTAGTCAATGGTATGAAGCACTAAAGTAGTTCAACATTGTCCTAGTCCATTCTGCATTTGTGATACGTTTCAAACAAAAGGACAAGTAGTTTCTCGATTATAATAAGTGACTAAAAAAACTATAGTTATGAATGAAATATACTAATCCGTCTACTTGCATGTGTTTAATTATGTTTCAATCGCACTACGGTTGCCATCGTTCCTCAAATACACGTTGATTCAAACTGTGATCATGATTAGCATGACGCGTTATACCCTAAGTACATCTAGTCACACACATTCTGCATAGTGGCGTAACCAGATGGGGGCTAGAGGGGGCTCAGCCCCCCCCCCCCTAAGAAGGCCTGAGCCCCCCCTACAAAAATTTTTTGCTCCCTATACATAAAAATATTTATCTTTGACTTTGGTATCTCTAGTAGCGATTATTTGAAGAATGACCACAGGTTTCGACTCCTCTATCCAAATTCCCGTTATATATGCCATATATACATCTAATTAGTAATTGAAATGAATCGTTTGGTACAGGAAGATGAAAGCTTTCACTTGAAATAAGTTTTACTTAGTGTTCTTAATTTAAAAAAATCAAATGTCTCCCATGTAAAAATGATCGTTAAATTGACGATTTAACGAAAATTAACGTTACCTTTTGTCCGTAAAAACGCGTTAAAAATCGATGTTTTAACGAACTTTCATGCGTTATTCGACGTTAACATCTGAAAAACGGAGAAAAGCCCATGAAAGTTCGTTAAAACGCCGATTTTTAACGTATTTTTACGGACAAAAAGGTAACGTCAATTTTCGTTAAATCGTCAATTTAACGATCATTTTTACATGGGCTTGGTCTCATCGAAAACTCAGCATGTTCTTTCCATCGAAAAATGTGCAAGATTCACATTTGGTTTTCTAGTTTTCTTCAAGGATTTTTTCATCGAAAAATATGTATGAATATGTTTGGACATGCATATTCTTTTTGAGTTTGTTGAATTCTATGTGATCATCTAGATGTATCTATTAAAGCACCTTAAAACAACAGTCTGATCACCTTTGGATCCTTTGCACATGACAAAAATATTTTTATTTCCTAAAAAAAATATAAGATGAAAATGCTTTCTCACAATTAATAAAATGGCAACGGTTTTTCACGACATCTTATAAATTTGAATTAATTTTCGTGTGATAGCCTTGACATATCCCATAAGACTGTATATTTCGGTAAACTTAGAATATATGTAATGTTGTATACAGAATGTCACAAAAAAGAGAGTCAAACCTTTGAATCACTTTTTAGTTCATTCACAGCGCAACAAATGAGGAATCTGGAAGATATTTTTTGAGAAACATATTTTTATAGCTCAATTTTCTTGCTTTATTATTCAAGAAAAATTCGTTTCGCCAATCAGTTACTTCAAGATACTTTTTTTCTAATCAATAACCCTTCTTTTCACTTCGACTTAAATCTAGAATAACGTTTCATTCTTTCATTTGCTTTCAGCAACAAAGCGTTCTTTCACCGTTCGTGGTGGTCTTCTTTTTTTTGAAATAACTATTCAGAGTCTAGCCGCCGAAGGCGGCTGTGGGTATAATACAACTAACTTCGTTTTGCGCTTGTCACTCGAAAAACGTAAGCTTCTCTGATATGAATCTATATAGTTTTTTGAAAAAAATGTTTTATTTTTTTTACGAAAAATTGCGTTTTTGAGAGCGTTTCCTGATGAAACAAACATTAAATATTTTTACGCGATTATTGTGTCATCAACGCGAAAAATAAGTTATACTGCACTGTTATTATAAGAAACTCATTCCGAAAATGGCAAACAGAGTTAATTTTTCATGAAAGAGCGAAACAGTTCCACCACTACCTATCTCAGAGATTATGTGCGCTATTGGAAGGAGGGGGCAGAGCCCCCTCTACGCCTTTTTTCTGGTTACGCCCCTAATTCTGCAGCTGGGAAATATGTTTCATATGGATTCTTTTCATATCTCTTGAAAAGATTATGAAACTTCTATGCAAAGGTTGTTTCAATGCACTCGTATGTCTTCAATTAAGGGATTGTCTAGAATCGGTCACTTTAAGCGGGGACTTAGTCGCACGATAGGTTGCATTAAATTTAGAAAACACGGCTAGTGTAACACATGGACGAAATCGAGGACAGAATCATGGGAACACCAATAACTTAATTAAATGAGGTTAGAATTTCAATAGGTTCTATTTTATTGTATTCTTCTCTTATTCTTTATTTGAAAACGATAATGACTATACTAAATTGGAAATGTTCGTCATTTCTCACTCACATCACTTCATTCTCCCTTTCACTTGAATTGAATTGCTTTTACTAAGTCAACTAGCTTGGCCGAAAAGGAGAAGGAAGAGATTATCGAAGTTTAAGTCGACACTCACTTTGTTACCATTGATTCCGCTGGATATTACATGAAGTCCTCCTGTTTTTTAGAACTTCAACATTTCTACATTTAAAACAAAAAATTCACATCCGAATTATATGTAGTTCTATCTGAAATGTGAGATTCATGCTTGCACTTTCAGACAACGGCTAAGTATGAGTCACATAACTGTTCTGATTCATCATGCTACCGACAAGCTGCTAACTCAAAAAAATTTCATTAATAGTTCAGGCATTTAGTCCACATGAGATTTTACTTTTCAGTTGAAATTTATCGAAATTGAAATACAGAAAGCTATCTAGAACACTTCAAATCCTATTTTGAAAATAAAAAAAAGTAGACTCTTGATCCCTGTGAGTATCTTAAAAATTCTAGAAAATACATTTTGTAGTGTTTTTTTAATTTTCTCAAACGTGCTACATATTTCAAGTTGACTGTGGTGATCACCAAAGTTACAATAAAAACTCGCAAAATATTTCTATGCAGTCCACAATGACAAGAGCAACCTATGGATGTGAGATCCATGCTGAGAAGAAATGTTTTTCGAGTTCTTCCATCAGGAGAATATGCGATTATTACTGTCATTCCTACTTGAATGAGAAAAACCTAGTATAGTTGCAAAACATGGTAGTTAACGATACTGATGACTTCATCTTCCTCTACTACTG